TTCTAATTTACCCTTATTTATATTTGTACAATTTCAATATTAAGTAGAAAAAATTAATTATAACTAAGTAAATTAAATAATAGTTTATGAGTAAACAATCAAAACAAAACATTCTAAATGAAAAAAATAGGGCTATATAACCCCTCCGGAGCATAGTTTAGTGGTACAAAGAATAGAAGTGAGGTTATTTCATGGCTTGCTGACAGCCACAGTGTGGGGGTTCGATTCCTGAGACATGGAATTGGACCCCTTGTAGGCACAGTGTACATGCAGTTCTTGATTCCTAGACTGCTGGGGCACATCTCGCGGTTTACCTTTCTCACAAAACTCTAAGGGTGAGACGGTGAGGGCCCTCAAAGTTGGGTTAAACATTTTTTTTAAAAAATAGGACTATATAATTGAGATAAAAAAATAAGGAAAGTCAGCCTATATAAATGAGATGAAGAGAGTAAAAAGTTTCTATAAATCTCTTTTAGATGTTTGGTATGTATTATTTCTAATTATTAAATAATTTTTTGATTGATTAAAATTTAAAATAATATTAAAATAAGAAACGTAATTTTGCACCTACGCCTTGCTTAAACTCGTGTAACCCATAGCTTAGCCTCGACACATTGTCACATGTTACGCCTTTAGAACATTGGGTATGGTCCGTCAAAAAGCATTGATTTAATTTTCATTTTCAAAAAGAAATATTAATCATTTTTTTTTTGTTTAGTTTTTGTAATCTAGGATATAAAACAATTAAAATTAATTAGCCATCAAGGATATCCACGAAAGGTGAGTCAAGGACGTTTGAAATCAAACCAAAAAGCACATTGACATACAAGTGAATATTCATGTAACACTCCTTGGTCTAGTTTGACATAGGAAGCTTGGTTAGTTGAAATATGACTATCGATTCAAAATGTAAAAAACAAATAAATAAAATCTCACTTTTTTGAGGTAAGAAGGAATGGAGAAAATGACTCTTACTAGTTTAATTACATCTTAAAAGAATTTAATGTGAAATGGCTTTTTTTATTTAATTATATTGTGCGAATGCCCAGGGGCGCCATTTCTGACACCCTAACTCCCAAAAATTTTATATTGGTAACTAAATAAATTAATTAAGTAGAAAACAAGAAAAGAAATGTTAAATAACTTCAATCCCTGCGGCAACTACGGTTGCCAAGACCTAGATGTTATGTATATTCTTGTCTATGTTTCATTCCCCAAGTGCCCTTTATTAATTTCGCCTCCCAATTTCTAGTTTTCTTTCTTTTTTTCCTTTTTTCTTATTTCCCCCCCCTTTTTTGGGCTTTGCAATTGTTTTTAATCTCCCCTTTTTGGTTCTTTAGCAACATGTCTTGTGTCGATCCATAATATTTCTAGTATGTAAATGAGTAATTTCTAGTAAGCTATATTCTAAAATTGGCTCAAGACTCGAAAAAGCCACAGAGTTAATGATTAAAGGATCGAACTAATAGTAAAAATAATAAACAAATAAAATTAAATTTTGACATTAACCATTTGATTTTATTGATGAATGATTGATTTTGAGTGAATCCATTAACTTTGGTAGCATACTGTATTGTTTATGTAATTCCAACCATTTTATATATTCTCAATGGAACGCGACAACTCCATTTGGTTAGTAAGTTTATCAACATTGTTAAAATATATAATTTACCTCATATTTATGAAGACTTCATTTATAGCCATATTTTTAAGAATAAGCTTTGCTTTTGATTTCCTATTTATATAGATGATACTTTTTACAAACAATTTTTCAATCATCTTAATTTATTCCTACCTAATAATTTTAATCCTTTGACTAATTATTATGAGAAGATTTTTTGTTATTTTCTTTAGAAACATGAATATCTATAATAATCATGCCGCTACAAATTAATTTTACTGTTAAAAGCTTTTAAAAGTATTCCCTATATGTACGAGTTCTCTCCCTTCAAAATTGTATCTTCCAACTTCTCTCAAACCTCGAATCCCATTATTTTTCACCAAACCTAATATTGTCATTTTTATCAAATAACTCCTTTCTATTTTTACTTTGCTCGTCAACACCAGCACCATCAACTAATCGTATTTTTTTCTCCGCCTAAATGTTAGATGCCTCAATAGTCCGCGATCTAAACAATTGCTCTTTTTGTCACCCATCTACTTTTTATCGTTTTAACTGCTTTCAAATCTACAATGAAGGATGTTTGACTCCATCACAGCTTTAAATTGTTAAAATCCAAAAAAATATTATCAAATTGTGCCAATTCTTGGATTATTTCGCCACCTTGTTAAATTTATTATTTATTATTATCTAATTTATCTTTATCAACTGATAATGGTTGTCAATCACGTGTGCAGTGGAGATCTCAGCTAGACCACCCTTTCAACATTTGACTATGTTCACAAGGCTAATTTCCTAGGACACAAAACTATGTGGAGATTTAACCTATAAATTATTTAAAAATTTTATCGACTTAATTTAATTACAGTGTGTTTGGGAGACATTTTTATGTAAAAGTACATTTTTGAATAGTAAATTGATGAAAAATGTGTGGTTAAAAAATAAGGCAATTTTTTTTATTTAGGTGTAATATTATTTTAATAAAGAATGTGTGGTTGAAAAGAAGAGAGAGAAAAATATATTTTGAAAAAAATGGGTATCAAAAGGGGAGTTAATCACGAAATCGGGATTCCAAACAACTTTGAAAGCCACACAAATTCATTATACGAAGAATTAATGAATTTATTAAAATCAGCAAACTATACAATTTGGTCTTAAATAATTTCAATCTGATAAAATGTTCTTTAGTGTGATTACTGTGGTAAAACTTTATTCTCGCATTACTCAATTAAAATTTACAATAATTTCTAACCAAGAAATTATATTTTTCTAAAAAAGGTTAAACCCTAACCTTAAGGGTCCCCCACCACCCCTACCCTGGAGCATCGTGAGAGAGATAAATCGCAGGTTATGCCTCCAAGGGTATAGGGTGGAAGACTGCTTGTACACTTGTACTTATCCAAGAGCCAAATCCATATTTCAGGATTCGAACCCTTGACGCAGCAGCCTTAAGCAAAACTAGATTTCTTCACCCTCCCCTTTTACCACTTGGAGATGTGCTCTGGGGGGCAAGAAATTATATTTTTCTTCTTTCACATAAGGTTGGTGCCAGCTAGTATGGTCAGGCTCTGAGGCAGGATGTGGTCGCCCAAGTGATGACGTCACGTCCCGAGGAGATAATATTGAGAAAAATTCATAACTAAGAGGTTAAGTATCATTCATTTCAAAATTTAGAACAAATATTTCAAAATTCAAAAATAAGATATTTATTAAATTTTATTTATGATTTTATTAATTATTTATATATTTTATTAATTAAATATAATAAGGTCACATATCAATACAATTTGGTTACAAATTAACGATTTAATTAGTCAAATATTATTTTTCGATCATGAATCAAAAATTTTATTGGTCACAAATTATTTCACAGTCACAAATAAAAAATTTCATAGGTCACGATTTGTTTATCGGTCAAAATAAAAAAAAAATTATAGATTACAATTTTTTTAGCTCCCACAAATCACAAATTTTATAAATTACAATTTATTATACAGTCAAAAACTATCAAATTATTGGTCACAAATTAATAAAATTTTAGGCCACATTATTTATTAGTCACAGTTTATCTATTTATTAATCACAATCAACCAACTAATTTATGACCACCACCTCACCATTGCTTCTAGTCACACCTTCCCCAACACCGTCGCCCAGCATCACCACTACCGCCGTATGTTTGTAGCACTACTTCCAACAAACTACCATTTTTCAACTTCAAACCCACCAGCACCCCACCACCAACAAATCATCATTTTTAACTACAAAACTATCACCAATGTCAATGTCAACGTCGACGCCAACACCATCGCCACCACCAACATCACTATTGTTAAGATTTGAAATTCCATCTTAAAAGGTCAATTCTGTTAAGAGGAGTAGCCTAAACCCTTATAAATTTGTCTATATTTTCATCTTTATTCGATGTGAAGTTATATCCCTTAATATGCCCCCACAAGATAGTGGCTCGTTTGAGCAGATCAATTTTGAAATCTGTATGCTCATTTTTTTAGTTTTAATTAGATTGAATCACTCGTTAGAGTTTAATGGGCTCTAATATCATATTAAGATTTGAAGTCCCATCTTAAAATGTCGACCTTATTAAGAGGAGTAGCATAAACCTTTATAAATTTGTTTATATTTTCATCTTTATTCGATGTGAAATTATATCCCTTAATAACCGTCATCACCACCCACATTGCTACCACCATCTTACCATCAACGTCACAGCCAGCAGAAGCAACATCAGCACCTCCCGTACCAAAAATCACCACCACCCTACACCTACCAAAAAATTGCTGAACCAGTTATCGCCAACACCATTGCATCCCCACCATCGACTTATCAAATCCACAGCAGACTGCAGTCCAATATCGATGCTGCTGCAAGCCGTGCGACCATGCAGCGTCTCTCTGAGCAATGACAACGACGCCTACTAATTTAAAACCAGATCTAAGAAAAAGGAGGAATTGCGCGCGAGGTGGAACTACACCACTCCGGGCAATAGTAGCGCCGCCTCGCATAGAGGTACGCCAAGAGCGAGGAAGGGGGTGTTATAAGAGCTAGATGAGGGAAAGAAGGAGAGGGAACGAGGAGAAAAGGAGGGAAAGGGAACGAGTGAATGTGAAGTGATTTTTAGGATTTGTATGAAATTTGAGAATTAATTTTATTATTAATATCTGATTTTTGTATAAACAAACTTCAAATCTAGTTTTTCAAATTGGATCTTGAAAGATATGGAAGATATGGTTGGGTGTAATTTCCATGATAATATTTGCAGTCTTTCTGGGCTTAGGAACTGTTTCAGTCGGGTCCATCAGGATAGCCCACTAGCTGTCTATAAAAAGCCCACGATTCTCCTCACTCTCTTCATTCCTTTCTTTCCTACTCTTCATTTTCCTCAATGTAGGCAACAGAAATTTCTTCAAATTTAAGGTAAGAAAAAATGTTTGGCTGTGCTTAAAGCTGTTTTTTAGCTGCTTCTTTCTATAGCGTGTAAGTCGAGCCAGACTGTCCAAAGAAGCGGCTTAAAAAGAATATAATTTCAAAAGTCTGCAATTTCATGTTTGTCTAATTCATGAAAACATCTTGGTTGCAGGCTTTAGACATGGTGAAATCATCCATATTCATGACAGCATCAAAGCTTCGAAAGAACAGAAACCTTGATCAGAAAGATGATGAAAGTTTGATTGATCCAATGGTGAAAAGTGGCCTTCAACTGGCTTCGGTTGCATGTTCATCTTAATTTGGTGCTATCCTAGCTGAGCTTTTTTATTACTCTGGCCCTTCATTTTTTTTTTATAATTTTTTTGACTTGTTGCCTTTTTGTTTTCCTTGGATGTTTCGTGTTCTTGACCTTGTAAGACCTTTTCTTGACCTTGTAAGACCCCTTCTACTGTTTTCTACCATTGTTTTTCGTTTTGTTTCAAATCTTATACTAGAGTTTCCCCGTGTAAGATTCCACCATTTTCCTTCTGCACTCTCACCCAACTCATGTTCTCCTTCCTTGTCTATCCCTCCTGAGCTATTACATAATACGAAGTGTCTCGTCCCAGAAATCGACCTAGAGAAGATCAAGAAATTCTCTGAAGATCATGTAATTAGCGCTGGTGATCTGAAACTCAATTTGTCCATTGATGTAAAAATATGACTAAAGAGAATTTACTCAAGTTAGGTATTGATTATATATAAACTTATAATTTGATATTATTCTGTCTATTATATACATATGTACATAGTGTATATATATATATTCTTACGACGGGAACATGATTTGAATTGTGTTAGACAATCTTTTAGCTGAATTCTCGTGACTGATTTCACGTACAAAATACTAAAATAGTATGCTGTAATAATGTAAAAGAGGACCCCTTCCCACTCCACCCCACGCCACATAAAAAAAAAAATAATAATAAATTGAGAGAAAGAGCAAAAGAAAAAAACATTTATGAGTTGTGGTACTGATGAAAAGCTTTCACAGAAAGACTGCTTTGTTGTCTGTTAAATTAATGAGATCAGTCATCAGTATGCGTGTTTTTTCGGGGTGAAAAGTGTTTTGTTTGAGAGAAGTGAAAGACTATTATTTTGCAATTAGTATATAAAATTTTCTCTCTGTCTTTCTTTCTTGATTGCACCTCCTTATTGTTTCTTTAATGAAAGAGGACTAAACGACGTAGATGAATAATTGAAGCTCTAGTTGTTAAAATCTTATCTATATTGTCCATGAACATAACTTTACATACTAATTCTAATATTTTACGTATAGCTAATTAATTCTAATATCTTCATGCGTACATCTAAATATCATTTAACTTTTTTAACATTCAACTTGCAAATTTGTATTATTATCGACTAAACAAATAAATCGTTCTCACATAAATTGAGAGATGATTAAAAAGAGTTAAGCACATACTTGGCAAGTGCTTGGTAATCATGCCAACACAAGGGATTTGGCCTTGGTTGAGATTTATTCCACCGAGGGTGGAGCCTCAAGGGAGGCCGAGCCCTCTTTTCTTGGTCGTTGTTGAGTTAAGCTCGACCAACCCATATGAGGGTCGAGTCTAAGACTCGGTCTCTTGGTCGTGTAAAGTTGACCAAGAGGAAGGGGCCGAGCCTATAAGGCTAGACTTTGGTTGAGCCATGAGGAAGGTTCGACTCCATCATATTGACCTGGGCTATTTTGTATTGACCTGGTTTTGGCACGTGTTAATTACTCTCTAACATAAATATGGTACGGTATCATCCCGTGAAAATATGAATATATAAAAATATCGAACGCCAAATATTGTATTGAAGTCCAAAATAAGAGCGGTCAATCAAAAATTAATGTAGTACTCCAAAAACTTGTCTGAAGATTGAATGAAACGTCTTTCTGTGATAGGGCCCTTTCATCTTCAGTTTCAACTCTGAGCATACAGCTTCTGCAGTTATCCTTTGAGATCTGGATCTTGATCATATGCAGATGAATTTTGTAATTATTCAGTTTAACACTGTTAAACGAAGTCATTTAGTTTCGTTAATTTACGTGTTGCATTTCTTTCGAGTCGGCGCCACTCAAGCACATGGCAATACTTGTACTTTGTTCATGTCATGTATTGGTCGGCATAAGCCGGCCGGCCGGCCATATTTGAATTGGCTCTCTAAGCCTGCATACTGCAGCCCTCTCGGACACTCGGCCCACCATGTCGACTTAAGCCTCACATTTTTCTGCCCAGATTAGACTGATAAAAAATTATAATTTGTGTTGGATCTATATAAACAGTTACTCTGAGACATCTAAAATACGGGTTAACATTCTCAATTTCGCTATAAAAAATAACCCACAACTCCTTTTAATACTATGACTTATATCTAAAATGAAGATAATATTAGCACCCATCATTTGCTTAATCTTTTCTAGTTAGTTATCTATGTTTTCAACGGCAAGTCAAGTCTTGCACACAATGATGGTGTCCCCAAGTGGGAGTGGGAAATAAAACAAGACTTTCTTTTTGCTCTATATATATATATATATATATATAATCATAGGTACTTAACTTATGTTAAACACTGGTGACATGACATACCATTTAATTAATGAATAAGTTAATGGTAGATCTTATGTATTTAATGATTCACTACTTAAATGACATTAATTTATTCACCAATTAAATGACGTGCTATGTCATCGGTGCTTGATATAAACTAAGCATCGATATTTAGGAAATCATTCATATATATATATATATATAATGAAGATTATTAGTATCCATCATTTGCTTAATCTTTTCTAGTTAGTTATCTATGTTTTCAATGGCAAGTCAAGTCTTGCACACAATGATGGTGTCCCCGATGGGAGTGGGAAATAAAAAAAGACTTTCTTTTTGTTATATATATATATATATAAAATCTTCGGTACTTAACTCACCGATGACATGACACACCATTTAATTAATGAATAAGTTAATGATAGATTTTACGTATTTAATGATTCACTAATTACATGACATTAATTTATTCACCAATTAAATGATGTGCTATGTTATCGGTGCTTGACATAAATTAAGCACCGATATTTAAGAAATCATTCATATATATATATATATATATAATGAAGATTATTAGCATCCATCATTTGCTTAATCTTTTCTAGTTAGTTATCTATGTTTTCAATGGCAAGTCAAGTCTTGCACACAATGATAGTGTCCCCGAGTGGGAGTGGGAGTGGGAGTGGGAAAAAAAAATACTTTCTTTTTGTTAATATATATATATATATATATATATAAATATTTTTTTCCCCTAGCTTTCCTTGTACACATTGGTGCGTAAATACACTTGTAACATATAGCATCGAATGTGTGATTTTAAAATAAATGCAAAATATGTGACACGTGCTTGCAAATAAAAGTGTGTGCATGATCTTTATTTAACTTTCTTAGAAATTTTTTAAATTGACTTATAATAAGATAAGTTCACAATGTTTTGAAAATATCTAGGCGTCACAAAATAATAGTATGCTCTCTCGAATAGTGCATGATCTTTATTTAACTTTCTTAGAAAATTTTTAAATTGACTTATAATAAGATAAGTTCACAATGTTCTGAAAACATCTAGGCGTCACAAAATAATAGTATGCTCTCTTGAATAATACCTAGTCATAATTTGAATCATATAATAAATAAGATAATATTATTAGTATTTTATTTACGTTTTCAACCTAAACATAATTGAAAAAAAATGCAATTATTATCCCATATCCTAATTAGAGCTATGAGTTAGACATGGCAGGGAGTGGGTCCATTTCTCCAGGCTAATTTTCATCTTTGAGGTAACATAGTAACATGGCCTCTTCATTAGGGCTTTTTCTAAATAAATCATTCCCTCAAAGAACTTTTAAAAAGGTGTCCTATCAAACTTTTGTCAAATAGGACCCCTCAATAATGACTTGATGAATAATTTTCACTGTGCGTAAAGTTTTAAGAATTTTGTCTTTGTGACTAAAGTTGGTCAATTTTATCGAACTCTAATACGGTTCAAGTAGTTGACCCCCATTGAAGGGAGAACCTTGCCCACCCTCGAGGTATGATAAAATTTTCAAGTGTTCTTTAATTAAAAAAAAAACTCTTAAAACAATTATTCAATAAGAGAAAGGTTTGTATTGAATATGTACATTTTGTTGTTCTACGCTTGCTATTTATAGACGACTTGTCAATGATTACTTGATAAAGTTTGTTATGAGCATATAGGACAGGTGGCCCTAGGGTTTTAACAAATCATGATGGGGATCACGGGTAGGTTAGAAAAAATAGTGGCAAGGATGTTTAATAGTTGGGTTGGTTATGTTGACATTCTCAATTTAAATACCACGTATCAATTATTTAGGTGATTAGATAGCCCATATCTCGACGATGCGAGTTTATTATCACAATGTGATTGAATGTTGTATTGAAAATTTGACCATGACATTTCAACAATCATTGCAACCCTCTATTGGTCGTCTTTCATTGATATAAATTGCCACAACTCAAATCAAGAGAAATGATGAAACCATACTTGATTCCTTTATTGGTCCGATCCTTTCCTATCATCGAGCAACATCGGCCACAACCTCATGGGGATTCACCTTCTCCTTGTGATTACACCTTGATTTTAGGGTAATATCACTGTCCAATGGACCAAATCTTTTTTAGACCTTGTAGCCGTGTTATCATTAGTCATGTTCCCCTTTTCATTTGACGCCAAAGGCAACTAACCATAGTTAGGAATCTAACACAAGGTTTTAAAAATGGGTAAGACAATTCAAATACAAGATAAGAGAAGACGAGATTTAGTATAGGCCATTTTCTACTTAACTCCCTCACAAGAAAGTACTTTAAGATATTAAAGTACGCTCCTTTCTCTATTTTTTTTTTAGTCAAATATAGATAGTGAGAAAATATAATTTTTAATGGTCCCAACTTAGTCTCCAAAAGAAACTCTTAACTCTATCTGATTAACTCAAAATGAGAATGAAATTATATGTAAAAATGGTTGAAATTACCCATGTTAATGTTTTAAAAAATTGCTTGGTTGGTTGGATGCAGATGCCGATTCAGGACAGACTTTTTTTGACATATAATTTGTTTATACATAAAAATTTGAAATGGGCTGGGGCTAGGGCTGGCCTGGCCCCCCTAAACCCGTCACTGGTTGTATGGTGAAACTAACATACTAAGTAATTTTGAAATGGCTAAATACGATCATTTCATGGTATTAACACATGTTAAAGCAATTTCATTGATACGTAAGTATAGAATACCATCTTGTAGTGGCTAAATATAGTTAATTGGTTGTATAATCACATATTAACACGATTTTGTTGAGTCAATAGCTATAAAAAAAACGATTTTGGAGAGAGTACAAAACTTTGTAGATTTGTAGTACCTCAACACTGATCACCATGCTCAAACGTCTATCGATTGCATTATGAAATTACAACATATAAACATGATTTTGTCTTAGTAAGTTAATAGCATATGTTTGAGCCCTATTTTTTTTTTAATTGAGTTTTGTTATAGTCAAGTTTTGGAGAATATGTATCAAAAAGTAGGAAAAAATATTTGATTTATATGTAAAATATTTTATTGAGAGAATGTATGCTTTAAAATGAGTTTGAAAAAATAATTTATTTATTTAAGATAATGAGGCTCAAATAGATGTTATATAAAACAGGTTAATTTCACAAACGGTCA